TCGGCCACGATTCATTGTGGCACATAGACCAATCGACCAGTATGTACGTACATGTTTGCGACCAGACAGATAACGCTATGTACGCTTCGACCGGGTGGGTCCCAGCTGTCAGGGAGGATAAGGAGGCACTTCCCTGCGTGCGAAGATATAGTAGTGGTCCTGATGTCTACTATAGAACTTCTTCTTGTAGACTCGTGTTGGGCCTCCAAGCGCAGAGTTTTGTAGAACAGTAGCAAATTTCCCTTGAGTGGATGACCTAAGGTTTATCAATCTGTGGGAGGCGTAGGATGAAGGTGGTCTCTATCAAACAACCCAGCAACCAAATACAAGATATTTCTTGTGTCCCCGACACACCCAATATAATGGTAAATTGTATAGGTGCACTAGTTCGGCGAAGAGATGGTGATACAAGTGTAGTATGGATAGTAGATATAGGTTTTTGTAATCTGAAATAATAAAAACAACAAGGTAGCAAGTGATAAAATGGAGCACAAACGGTATTTCAATGCTTGAAAACAAGGCCTAGGGTTCATACTTTCACTAGTGCAATCTTTCAATAGAGCTAGCATAATTGAATCATATAACAATTCCTCAACGTGTGACAAAGAATCACTCCAAAGTTCTTATCAAGCGGAGTGCATAAGATGAAATTGTTTGTAGGGTACGAAACCACCTCAAAGTTATCATTTCTGATTACTCTATTGAGCTATTCCTATAAGTGTCACGGCCCTAGAGTTCATACTAAAATAACACCATATGATACACATCAATCAACCCTAATGTCACCTAGATACTCCAATGTCACCACAAGTATCTGTGGGTCAATTATACGATATGCATCAAACAACTTCAGATTCATAATATTCAATCCAACACAAAGAACTTCAAAGAGTGCCCCAATGTTTCTACCGAAGAAAGTAGGACGAAAACGTATATCAACCCCTATGCATAGGTTACCCCAATGTCACCTCAGGAATCCGCGAGTTAAGTACCAAAACATACATCAAGTGAATCAATATAGCACCCCATTGTCACCATGAGTATCCATATGCAAGACATACATCAAGTGTTCTCAAATCCAATAAAGTATTTAATCCGATAAAAGTGAAACCTCAAAGGTAGAAACTCAATTCATCACAACAAGATAGATAGGGAGAAACACCATATGATCCAACTATATTAACAAAGCTCGCAGTACATCAAGATCGTACCAAATCAAGAACACGAGAGAGATATCAAACACATAGCTACTATTAGATACCCTTAGCCTCGGGGGTGAACTACTCACACACCACCATGAGAATGGAGGAGAAGTTGGTGGTGATGGTGATGGAGGAGATGTCCCCGGCAGTGTTCCAGCTCCATCGGAGGAGAGGGGCTGGGGGCCCTGCTTCTTCTTCTTCCTTGGCCCTCCAGGGGGGAGAGGGAGCTCTCCCCTATATTGGATCTCTCTGTTGCCTTCTGTTTCTGCGACCCTGTTTCTGGTCGAAAATTGTTTCTTAAATTACTGGAGGTCCGTAACACCGATTGGACTGAAATTTCAAAACGATTTCTTTTCAGATATTATCTTTCTTGCGGCGAAAAAAGGGAATCAACCAACCTACGAGGGGCCCATAAGCCACCAGGGTCCTGCCAAGGGGTAGGCTACGCCCTGGTGCCTTGTGGCCACCTCGGGCACCGTCTTGCATTGATTCTTCTTCCTGAAAATCGCATATATTCCAAAATAAATCTCCATAAATTTTATCCCGTTTGGACTTTGTTTGGTATGGTAATTCTGCAAAATAAAAAACATACAAAAACAGGAACTGGCACTGGGCACTAGATCAATAAGTTAGTCCATAAAAATAATATAAAAGTGCACCAAAATCATACAAAATTATAATAAACATGACATGGATACTTCATAAATTATAGATACGTTGGGGACGTATCAGCATCCCCAAGCTTAATTTCTGCTCGTCCTCGAGTAGGTAAATGGTAAAAGAAATAATTTATGAAATGTGAATGCTAGCATAGTGCATAAGTTTGATCAATGATAATTTCAATCACTTTTCCTAGCATCATAACAACAACTCTTTCTCATAAAACTCATCATGATAAAGTAGCAATCAATTCAGATGTTATGGTTCAAACAATGCATTCTCTTGAAACTTAACAACCTATGTTCTTAGTCACCAAACAATTGTAATGCATATTATTTTCAACAAAATCTAAGTAAGGGCTCCATATACTCAATTATCATTTAGTCCTCTATGATTGCTAGTGCTCAAAGCATATTTTTAGAACAAATAGCATTCATCGAACACAGAGAAAGATAGGGGCTTAATGTTTTGCCTCCCAACTTATTTATCATAGAGATAATTGTCAACAATAATGATTCAGATAAAATATATTTGAATGGCCATATATGTCTGTCCCCACCACATGATGCTTATCAACTAAAGAATATGTTGGAATAATAATGAATACTACTGACTCTTGCATAAAAGTAAATACTAAAAAGTAAAAGATATGTCCTTCACAGAGGGAAGCATGGATTTGCGGAAGTGCTAGAGCTCATTGCTTAAAACAGAGATGAATTCATTTTGAGAGGTGTACTTTTCCTGTCAACGTCACGACCGAGAATTCTCATTATCTTCCATGCTAAACACACTATAAGCGGTTCCCAAGTGGAAAGGTAAAATTTACTCCCCCTCAACCATAACACAAGCCATGGCTAGCCGAATTCTCAGGTGCCCTCCATACAATCAACTTTCCTGGGGAGTTTGTTTCATTATTTTTCATTTTGATCATAGGACTGGGCATCCCAATTACCAGCCTCTCTCGTGCAATGACAAGTGAATAAACACCCCTCGTGAGAATAACCTGCTTAGTATGAAAGATACTGACCACCCCCTGCCGCTTCATGAGTGGTACAGGCACACAAGACAGATGTTTATTTGAAGATTTAGAGATGGCACATGCAAATTTACTTGGAACGACAGGGTAATACCGTATATAGGTAGGTATGGTGGATACTCATGGAAGAAACTTGGCTCAAGGATTTGGATGCACATGCAGTGATCCCGCTTCGTACAGAAATTTTGGCTAGCAAAAGATTCTAAACAAGCACAACATGTTGGAGGATCCATAACAATATAACTTCTATACAAATAATCAACCTTAACTCGTTACGTTGTCTTCCTTGTCCAACTTCAACCAATTTTCTCAAGTTTGAAAATAATTAATGGATATTCATAATTATAAAAGACGTCCAAGATAATATATTTGCATGTGAAAGTTCTCTTCCTTATACTAATCATTCATGAATTGTTTGTATGACCAATATTGTGATTGTCAAACTTCAATAAATTTTACTTTCTAAACCCAATGTGAAAGATGGTTTGGTATGCCTATCGCATGACGTCCTCCAAGTAGTACGTGGCGGCAGACATCCTTATGTCGTCCCAAATCTTTAGAAGGCACACCTTGCTATGTACCAGTTGACGGGGACCATGGGGCGAACCAACCTGTGGTTGGATGATTAGAGAGACAGTGGTATCCCCAACCCATGAAGGTTCAAGTCCTGGTGCTCGCATTATTCCTGGATTTATTTCAGGATTTCCTGCGATGCGCTTTAGTGAGAGGAGACGTTCCCGTCGACGACGAGACGCTTACAGTGACTTCATAAATCTCAAGATGATATGCTGGCTCAGTCTCTCGAAGGTGCTCATAAGGCTCAAAGATGCTCATAGGGGTAGGGTGTGAGTGTGTGCGTCTATAGGGGTGAGTGTATACGCGTATGTATAACCATGCGCTTTAGTGAGAGGAGACGTTCCCGTCGACGACGGGACGCTTACGGTGATTTCATAAATCTCAAGATGATATGCCGGCTCAGTCTCTCGAATGTGCTCATAAGGCTCGAAGGTGCTCATAGAGGTAGGGTGTAAGTGTGTGCGTTTATAGGGGTGAGTGTATACGCGTATGTATAAACATTTACGTCTGTACTGTATTAAAAAAACAAGGACCACAGGTTATTATCAAGACTAAGTGGGTTTGAATGACAAGTGGACCATGATAGTGCGGGTTAGGCGGGTAACGTAAACGGCGGGGCCTATCAACAAGATTGCAACCATGTATAGAGGGTCATCAACTCGGCAAACAACAACAATGTGGCTGCCAGTAGGCGCACTGTGATTGGCCAGTGATTCGTCACAGGCATGGTTTGAGACCGCAGCACAGCACTTTGGAAGTTCTTTTATCAAAGTGCATCATGTGTCTCGAGTTTGTGACCTGCGCGCAATAGCTCCAAGATGAATGAGCATTTTCTTTTGCAAGAAGAAACAGCGCCCCAAGATGAATGATGGCTCCTTTGGTTTAGAGGAATTCTAAAGGATAGAATTTTTATAGGACTTTTTTTTTTACAGCCCTTTAGTTTATAGGAATGGATTCCTATTCCTACATAGAATTGGTTCCTATCCTCCACATTTCATAAGAAAATAAAAAAGAGCCTAGACTCAATGAAAAAATTCTTTTGGTGTCAACCAAATGACATCTTGTTTCCTATTCCTACTCATAGGATTTGAGATACATGTCATCTCATTTCCTACAAGATTCCTATTCCTATGATAATCCTATCCTATGAACCAAAAAAGGCCTGAGCATTTTCTTTTGCAAGAAGAAACAAAGATGAATGAGCATTAGATCCGGTAACAAACAGCAAAACGTTCTTACATGTTAGTATGGTGCACAAACTGCAATAAATGGATTTAGGAACAAGAATGCACATTTCGGTTTCGCGTTCACCACTTTCACCGCTAAAATAGCTGGAGCACACGAAACACAACTGAATAGCAGCACCTCCACGGGCAAACAATATGGGGCTTTGTCTGGTTGAGCATAGATACAACGATAGAAGAGTTTGAATCGGTCACAGAACTACACAGATTGCACAAACACAAAAACAGTATATATATATATATATTCCACCGAGATCTTGGGTTCCAGGTCATGCTCAAGAGTTACTTCTTCCATGGCTGGATAACCGCGACCACGATGATAACCACTATTACCAGGAGAAGGATGATGGCGTAGCACATCCACTTTCTCGAGTTTTTCTGCAGCTTCTTTGCATTCTGGAGAGCGCCCACACCTTGCTGTATGTGGTTGGTAGCATTTGAAACCTTGAAAAAAGAAAATGGAATGACAGTGCAAATGTTAGCAACATATCGTTAGTTTGCTTTATAAAATCGGTTAGGTCTATTTAGAATAAGCTGTTTGTCTTACATGTGTCTCTATGTGGTTGATCATGTCTCCTTGAGCCTCAACCAATACTGCCATATCCAGGAATATCTACAAGGCAAAACCCAGGAAATGGGGTACATAAGACATATTACAACCCTTGTATTCACATGGTGCGAACTATAAAATTGTACAAGAGCTCATGCAAATGAAAGATAACCTGCTGCAACTCCAGAAGCTTCCTCTCCAGATCTCTGACAGCATCATGACGCTCCTGTATCTCAGCAACAGTATCCAATATCTAGAAGAGGCCCAATTATCCTGATGAGATTTTGATGCATTTTCCCACAAGTACACAAATAATGACCAAGTTATAACTCATATACCTGGCCTCTCCCCTGCTGCTGAACAGCATCTTTGAAAATCTGCTCACTTCTCCCTGTCTCGATTAAATCATCAATAGTCTGCAGGTTCCAAAGTAACAAAGGAGGCACACTGTAAGATAAACAACTAAAAAACATTACAAATCAAAGCACAAATTTAACCATATAAAAAAATGTTGCAACTATACCTCTTCATCAGGGCGATTGCCAGTTACAGTAAATACCCTTCTTTCAACAACTTCCCGGTACTCCTGCCGGATTGATTCTCTCAATACCTGCATCAGAGGGTAACAACACCGTATAACTCACATAGTTGCAATAGTACATTATATTATTCTATTTTCAGACATCAGGCTGATGCATACTTTCAATCTACCATGATGGTAAGAAATATTCTTGTAAAGTTAATGAAAGTTGAAAGGAGGATAATTTGCAAAACATAGTTCAGTAATATTTGTCCTTTACTTTTTAGAACATATAAGCATCAATGAAGCCACTTCCACCACTTTAGAAGAGCTAGATGTTCAGACTTCATATAGCTGGATGTCCCTGCTGCTCTATGAGGGCATGTCAAATAGCCCAGGTAGTAAATAGAAAAATATGGATTAATTTTCTATGTGTCTAAAGATTATTAGGCATTAGAGGGAACTTTTATTCATGGAACAAGAAAATCATCACATACAAGGTAATTTGGACAGTCCAGTTAGAGGAAAACAATACCTGAAAATCGTCCATCCGTTCCTTCAATTTCTTTTTGACTGCTCTGTAGAGATCGGTAAGCACAGTGAACAACAACTAATTCATGAAGGCAAGAAATCGGAAACACAAATTGACAGCAAATTTACCCAGTAGTCTGTTCTCTTGATCGATCTACTGCAGACCCCTTCCCACATCCAGGTTTCTGCCTGTTAGATAAGTTCTGTAGCACAGAGGCAGCAAACCATAAGCACGTCCATCCTTTAATTCATGCAGATAAAGCTAGGAAAGAATGACAGACACAAGCAGGTCAAGTGTAAACATACATCTTTTTCCAGTTCATCAACTTTGGTTTTTGCCATACGAGCAATTTTCCCCACTTCATCAATATCTTTCTCCATTCGCTGCTTAATTGCTACAAAAATGTATTGTTGTACGTGACTATACATATAGCAAAATTTTCAAGAGAGTCTACACTCATTTCAGATAAGGTTTGGCTCTGCTAAAGAACACGAGTTCTCACCTTTCATGGCACTTGCTTTCGTAACTGCTTTTGATTCCTCGTTTGCAGTCTGCAAGAAAAGGCAGGGTGTATATATATTATATTTAACTGCGGGGCTTTGATAAATTCATCAAGAAGTTAGTACTCACACACCGAGATTCCGTCATTACTATGAATAAGGACCAGAAAGAGAAATAAGGAAATTAGAATGGGGGGTGATTAATGGACCTGGAGCTTAGTCAAGAGATTCGTCAGCTTAGCTATTAGGCTCTCAATTCCATCAACCTGTGTATGAAAGCATCATGTCATTAATCTGAAGTGCAAAAATGGACAAATAAGGCAGTTACAAAATGCGAAGACTGAAGAGTTTCCTAAACAGCACCTTCTTCAAGAAGCCTTTTAAATTATCAGAAGCATCAGGCTGATGCATTCCCATTTCAACGTCCCCATCTCTTGAGGAATCCCGCCGAGGAAGCTCAAAGGAATCCTGCAAAATAGGAATGTTTATAGAATATGTAATGCATGTACTGCAGCACCTGCACGAAGGCTTGATTGTTATGAATTCGATCTGACAAACCAATTGCACTACTTTCATCATAAGCTAAACCAAATACTATTGTTGCACAATAAAGCATTGACATTATAACTAATCCCAGAAGAGTATTAAGCTTAAATTGCTAATACTGCAGATAAACAGCCAAAAGAGTATTTGAGCAAAATCAGAACACTTCCTTCCCAGTTGCGAATCGTTTGTATTCATAACACAGTGCATGTGAAAACTCAAAAGAAACATGACAACGATCATGTAATGCCAAAAGAATATTCTGAAGTCTTCCAGCATATCAAACCCCACAGAAACTCCAAGCCAGTTAATTTGACTGTTCAAATAACTAATGTGATCATTATGTGTTTTCAGCCTAACAGTCAATGACATTTCGAGGATGGTAGCAAAATTTACTCCGGTGTTAAGCATAAAGCTCGGAATAAATCAGAACAAAAGTCGTTGCAAATCACGGAGAGGTTCTTCAAACAACAGCAACCAGGCCATTTCTCATAACACAAAAAAGCAGATCTAACGCGACCATCCTAAAAGGATACATCCTGCTACTTCGCCACGCACATCTGAGCAGCTAAGCCGATTCCTTGCGTGGCATTTCCTTCTTTTTTTTCGCGCCCCGACGCTTAAGCAATCCCTTTCTCCACCAGTCACCCAGCCGCCTCTAAACTCGATCAGGCCCAGCCGACTTGGAACTCATAGCAACAGAACAACGGTTGCTTCAGAAATTTGAAGCCCATGCGGGAGGGGGGCACGGCGGGCAGCCCCGCTCAGATCTCGAGCTCGTGTCTGGATCCCCGCCACTCGGTGAAGCAATTGAGGGAGCCAGCGTGAGTAGATCGAGGGACAGGACGGTTCAGAGGGGAGGGAGGGAGG